GTAATGAGGAGGACCCATCATCAAATGAAAATTTTATAGAAGACAGGTAAGCATCTAAAGAGTATTTCCTTTTCATTAGGCAAACATCAGTACCAATACAATATTTCCAAAAGTGTTGTGATTTTTTATACGCCACACAATTCCTTCCATTTGTCACTAAAAGTTTACGAAAGATACATAGAAGGATTCATTATCCTTCCAGAGAAAAAAAAAAATAAAGGGAATTTCAAATAATTCTATCAATTGAATCATTTTTTCACAGGCATGTATTGGTTTGGCGTATATATCTATTGATGAGTTTAGGCCACAAGGTCCCTTTTTCAAATCTCTTTTCAAATTATGTTAAGATTCAAAGTTAAAATTTCTAATTTAAATTATATTTGTCAATACTATGTTAGTTACAATTGTAATTTTTTTAATCTTTTATTATCCAAAAAATATACAAAATATTAATTAAAATTTTATAAAAGTACATAAAAAATTAATTAAAAATTATGAATTTACATTTTTAAATAAGGTATTACAAGTGTAAAAAAGATATGTGTGAAGTATTATCAAACGAAATTTTAGGGTCTAAAACTCTTCTCAATTGTTATTCTTCAAGCAGGTACTCTAAGAATAAGGATAATTAATTAAGATTCATGCTGCTTTCAAAAAACAGAGAAGGAAGATTTAATTCAAACCTGGAATTTCAATTGAAGAAAGTAAACAGTCTTCTAAAACATTCTTCTCTACAATGATCTAAACTGCCTAATGATCATCAAGAGTTGGCTGGATTATAAGGTGGTTCCTTATTTTGTCAGTCAAGATTAGACTTATATGGATGCCGACAATGGGTATAATTTGATCCTTAAAATTTCCCAATCTTCACTACCTGAATGACTTTAATTAATCAAATATGAAAAAGAAATTAAGAGTTCTATCCCGAAAAAAAAAAAGTAAAAAAAAAAAGAGAAGAATTTATGTGTTAATTGGTAAAAATCTCACATCAAAGTACAATAAAAACATGTGCAAGTAAAATAGAAGGAGGGTTATTTCATTTATTGTTAATTAATTTTAAGTTGGATACAACTTTTGTATTGAAATCCAAATACCTAATTTTTACATGTTATCTGTTGAAATAAGGCTCTTTAATGCTTTTAAATTGGATGCAAACTTTTTATTGAAACTCACATACTCAATTTTCACAATATGAATGCCATTTGAATTGATTATATGATAATTTGCTAAGTTTTGATTAGTTTTTATTTTCTTTTTTCTTTGAGATGAATTGTTATTAGGATTAATTTGTACTCCTATAAAAAGTTCTAAAAAGCCTAATTATTGAAGGACAAACATTTCTCTTTTGGGAATATAGCAATGCATCTGCCGACAAGCATGATGCCCTCAACTCAATCTTAAAAATTCTTGAGACAAAGGTTGTTAATTAAGCACAGCCTGTATCCTTTCACAATTCATCACTAAAAGTATAGCAATTAAAAGGAAATAATTAAACAATTCTATAACACAATAATTTTATTTCTAGAGAGGGAAATCATGAAGCCATATTTATCCTCTCTTTTTTTTTTTTACTACAAAAGTGACCCTATAACCATATATAAATACAATTTGCACAAACTCATTTGATATTTCTTTTCAGGGAAAAGAAAAAGAAATTATACAAATTAACGTCTTAAAATAATAAAATAATAAGAATTTATTACAATAGACATAAAGATGATATTGTAATCATAATGGTTATGATTTTCATGCGGGCCAGGATGGTGTAAGATTTGCTTTGGGTCTTTGGTTCCTTCTCCTTCTAATTGAGCAGCCTTTCCTTCTGTTTCTTCCTTTTTCTTTTCCTTTCCTTCCTTTCTTCTTCCTTTCCAACATGGACTGTTGAACAGTTAGTTCAGTTGAGACTTGACACTTGATCCAGGCCCCCACCCCCGAAGAAAATTAGAGCAAAATATGTGCTGGCCTCTTGCTGAGAAGAACTTGGACAGCGGCTTAAAAGTATTAATAAAGATGATAATGATGTTGTCTGTAAGGGATTTTATTGTCTGAAAATTTTTCTTCTACCCATGATGATCCTGGTTGTCAGGGTCAGGCCAAAATGAGGAGTACTTGAGCCATTCTGCTTCTTGTGGGTTGGTGATGGATGACCCCTGCAAAAATACAACACAGTGGTAGTTTAAAGTACGTGAAAAATGAAAACAACTTTCGACTTCCCGCTGGGCATTTGGGGCATTTAGGGTTAGGGTTTTTTTGAACAAGAAAGTTTTTATTAATTGTCCTCGAAAAACAACAGATGAAGAAGCTGCCTTTTTTGTACTTATTCCACATTGAATTGTTTGATGATGTACCTACCTTATGAAGCAACACATGACAAAAGATTTCATGCTGCTATCATGCACCTTCTTCTAGTTTATATCTTTCTGTTATATGTTTCCCATTAAACACCATCAATTATGGCACCAAAAAGAAGAATAAATTCAAAGAAAAAACAAAATTGATTTGTAGACCATGTTTGTTGATAACAAATCCTCACAAGTGACATGACATTAAATGACTGAATAAAAAGTTATGCCAAGTGGAAAAAGTATAAAAAAATTACTACCATGTCACATTGTGAGGATTTATTGTCAACAAATATTATCAATGGATCATTTTTGAACAAAAAGAAGGAGAGGAAAAAGAATGAGCTTTAGTTTTCTTACCACCTTCTTTGTTCAAAACAGAAAGGAAAATTAAAGAAGATTCTATTCTTCTAACAGATTTAAGGCCTTGATTTCACCTTCTGCTACCCTAAATTTTTCAGAATTTCGGTGACATAAGTTGAACATTGTAAGACATCTTAATTAACTTTGTTGCGGAAAAGAAGTGCAGGCCTACCATTTTTCTACTGCTTCTAAAGGAAAAGGTGAAGGGAATAATTTTTAATGCCAAAAAGCAACTTATGTGTATATGTAAGAATCTACATATGTATATGCATGCATGTACTTAATAAGTTACCAAAGTACGCATATACATATGCAGTATGTTGTCTAGATATCATATCTGATTTAAGAACATAAAAGAAAATGATGTTGGAAAAGAAGATAAAAATGAAAAGAAATTAAAATAAAAGAGATAAAGAGAAAAAGAAAAGGTTTGGTTTATCTCTTTAATTTAAATTAATAGTATTAAAGAATTTGAAGAATTTTTTTTAATTTCTCTTTTAGTCCCATCTTTCAAAATCCCTGCTTTTCACCTTCCCTCTATATTCAGGTGGTAGGCTCATGGATTTCAGGTTCAGAAAGTTTATATACTTACTTCTTTGATATCAGTTGAAGTGCAACCCATTATGAGTTCCTCCAATCCAGAAGCAGACCTTCCGCCTAGTTTATGATGTTCTTGCTGTTGTTGTTGTTGTTGCTGTTGCTGCTGTTGCTGTTGCTCGTAAAACATGTCAATAAAAAAAATTACCCATATAAATCATTGTATCTTCAAAAAAGATTAGAAGGTGAAAAGACAGTTTATTTGTTCCCAACTTAGCTGACATTAAAAAGTAGCATTTCATGACTGAGCTTCAATTCATCTATAATTTTCTCCAATCAATACATATATATATCATCTGTAATTTTCCAATTTAATCGTATTCATGCATGGTTGACCCATGAATCAAAACTCTTTAAAATCAACAAGAGAAATAAAACTTGTAATTTTATGTGAAAAACCATCACTTGGGTATAAAACCAAATATCCTATACGGTGAGAAATTTATTTGGCACAGACAAATGAAAGTAATTATTGTCTCTATATATATTATATAATATGACAATGACTTGGAAGAATTCCACAAGAAATGGAGATTTGAGATTAATTTGTTTGGATTATATACCTGAAAACTTTCATTTTGAAGCATTATTCTGGAGACATGGAAAGAGTCTTCATCGAGAATGATAGAAGTGTGGTGGAGGGGAGGTGGAGAGATGATGGTAGAGATGGGATGTGAAGGCCTGCTGATGTGGAATGCTGCAGTGGCAATATTCTGATGATGTGTATGTACATGGTGTTGTTGCTGTTGGCGCTGATGAGGATCATGGGCCATGTGATGTGTCTGCGGATGCTCGTGTATCTCCTCGCATGTTCCTTGTCCTGGAGCTTCCCTTACTGTTGAAGCTTCTGCTATAGCCACCTACAATGGACAATTGGACACACCCCATGAAGCATCAGTTTGCTAGCTAGTCCATTTTTCGGTCAACATTTTGGAAACTTCAATTCTTCTTTTCACATATACAGTTTAGTTAGCTCGCATTGATAATCTAGTAAGGTCCATGGAGTTTTCATGCTGCATATGCAAGCAATTGATAGAAAATTTGAGAAAAGCAACCCTAAATCTTTATGATCTCTTCCCTTTACTTTTATTTTATGTTAGATAAATGAAAATGACCATGACTACTTTGATGTTAAGAATTGAATGTTCATTTAAAATGAAAGGTACATGTCAAGACTAGAAAATCAAATAAGTTTTTGTTTTCTTTAATATCTTTTACTATTCTTTGCTCCTATTTTTATGATTAAACATTGATTTTCAAATTAGTTTGAAGATTTTCTGAAGTAGTAGAGATGGAGGAGGCAATGTTTATAATGTATTTATACCTCATGGAAGCTTTTCCCATACGGGGTAAAGCTGAAATGGTCAGATTTCAACTGTTGAATATCTATGGCACCGTAACTCGCTAAGGCAGCAGCAATTCCAGCAGCTCCTTGATCTTCTGGATGTGGTATTGCTTCCTTAGAGGAACAACTTCCACTCCCACCATCTCTTCTGCTATTAGGATCACTACTTCCTTCCACAGTTGTTGCGGTCCTATCAGACCAATTGCACTGCCTTGGCTGTGTCTGGTAGAATATCTTGGACACCACTAGCTCACCTTCTTTCTCCTCTTCATGCTGGCCAAGGTGATATTGGTGCATGACCCAGTTCGTCTTTTCGGGTTTTCGATTTTTTCCAAAGTTGGTATACAAGACAAGGATTTTTTTGCATCCTTTCTGTTTTCCATTCACCAGCACCGGCCTTGTCTTACCGGTTTTGTGCCATCTTGTTTCTCCACCTTGCAAGTCACATTCTGTTTGAATTTTCCTTCTCTTTCTTGTTCCAGTGGTGTAAGCCTTTGATGGTCTGTGGAAGAAATGTCTGCTCAAGCCATCTCTTGTTACTCCTGAAAAATGCGAACCATTTTTGCCCAAAATCAAAGTTAGGTTGACTTAGGTATAACCAACAATCAATGTCACTCATCTTCAAAAGTCATAACAAACATACTGGGAAAAACTACAATCCATTGAGTTGCAGCTTTTTTTCAGAAAACACAGTATGAGTAAGACCTAACAACATTGAATAATGATGGAATTAATTTGTCCAAAATCAGAAAACCCTGGGCGGAGCATCGAGGTCTCTCTTGTCAATCCTCGAGTCTCATCATAGATAGCCTGACTTTGACCGACTACTGTCGCAAGAGAGAAAAACATGAGTTGTTCTATAATCAAAATTAATTACCTGGAAGTTTCTCAGGATGGGTATAACAAATCCCATCTTCTCCTTCAATGGTAGGGATGAATTCATCAATCAGAGGATGTGACTTCGCATCTTTTGCTTCAACCTTAGCTTCAAGGTGTTCTATCAGTTCTTGGTCTGTAGGATCAAATTTCACCCCAGCAGGTAGACCAAACCAGTCCTGCAAAAGATCAATTTATTTTTGAAACAAATTAGAATCAAACTTACAGTAAAAGATGCTAACTTGAGAATCAAACTGCAAGCATAATTCCTATTCATCTTGATGCCATATTCAAGCCAAGAATATTAAGGAAATATAGTTATCCATACCGGCTTTCCTTCAAGCCTGTGTCCACAACCAGGGCACTGCTTGGATCCACAAAGCTGATGTTCTTCGAGCTTCGCATCGATGAGATCAGAGCTGCTGATGGAACCCAAATTACTTTTATTCATTGCTCCAAGCTTTATTCTTCTTCCAGAAGCAGATGCCTATCTTCTTTGTCTCAAGTCCTTGAAATCTTGAACAAAATCATCAACTCTATATAGCAACCGAGTATTCATATCCCATCTAGCTCTTTATATAACAGAAACCATACGGCTGTGTCTGAGATCCGATGTTGTGCACAAGCTAGAAAAAAAATAGAGAAACAAATTGATGGGTAAGGTTTAATTTAAACCTTGTTTTTATATCAATGAAAAAAAAAGGTTGGGAGAAATAAAAGATCCATCCTTACAAAAAAAAAATAAAATGAAAACCCAACAGAAAAGTTTTCAAAACCACAAAGATCAGCCACTTCTATGAACATATATATCAAAACAAGATGAGTTAGTGTGAATACAAACCCATTTCAAAACAAGCAAAATATGCAAGGGTTTAGGAAGGAGAAGAGAAGAGAAAGAGAGGAGAGAAAGGAACGAGAAGGGGGAGAGGGAGAGGAGGAAAAGAGGAAACTGTCACGGTGGGATTGAGGTATTATAAACCTGCTTTATCTATGGGAAAACACCAGAATTCCCTCCGTAGCTACTTTAACTGAAGCCAAGTGAGAAAAAAGGAAAAGTTGCCCCTCTTCCCTCTAACCTACACACACAGACACCACTTTTAATCCTTTGCCAATTTAAGTAGAGCATATAGGCAGGCGGTTTGTGAGAGAGAAGAGAAAGAAGGGGAAAAAAATTTAAAAAAATAAAATAAAAACCATTTTTCTTCTATCTCAAAAGCTTAAGCCTTGACACACCTTTGTTTTGAAGGCTTGACTACTAAAGCAAAAGGGTAGAAACGGCCTTCACAGCTGTTACTTAAGGGCACCCCTTCAAAAGCAATATTTCTAGTACCCCATCTCCTATCTTCCTTAATATATTAATAAAAGGGATCGTATTAGCAAAATATTAATATAAATTAACTAACTATATTTAACCAAAATATTAGGTTTTGAATTAGTTACAAGATAAAATTTAAACTTTGGGAACATGTATATATATGCCTCATACATGGAATTGTGAGGGGAAGAGCTTTGAGTAATGAAGAAGAAATCAGGGAGAAACTGCAGTTTCTTTAGATTTTAATCTTCACCATGGCTAGAGCTTCTCAAAAAAGTTTCAAACTTGGTTTCTGAGAAAGAAGGACAGAGAAACAGATATCTGAAAAAATAGAAAAAGAATATAAACAAAGGAAAAAACATATTTAAGAGGTAGGAGAAATTAAAAAAAAAAAAATCTCACATGGGTTTTGAGATGGAGTGGCGATCATGATTCTTTTGCCATGAATGTTTCAGAGAGAGAAAGATAGAGAAATTAGCTAAGGTTGCTTGACAAAAAAGGCAAATAAGCAGTGTACTTGATGGACCACCACCTTCCTCTTTTTTTTTTTTTTGGTAAATGACCACCACCTTCTTAATTAATCCCAACCACACACACGTACAAAAAAATAATAATAATAATAAAACCAAAATAAATATATATGTATATATATATATATATATGAAACTTCAGACACAAGCACCAATAATTTTTGCTCATTCATTTCTGGAAATAATATTAAAAAAAAAAAGAAAAAAAAAGAAGCGGTGTTCTGAGTCTAGGACTCTAGGGTACTGTTCTTTTTTCTGTCCCATGTTAGTGTTTTGGCCTTGTTTGATTTCTATTCAAGGGGAAGTCTAAAGTGCATTTCACTCACACTATTTTGTGGTGTGTAATGAACGAGAAATCAGATCATGGCCCAGAATTAGGTGGGCCCAGATGGAAAATCTTTTGGTCCCAAAGTATATTGATCAGATGATTGTTAGGGTTCACGTTTATAACATTTTTATGGGGACAGTCAAGGGGGAATCATGAAGGGACCAGTATATGTTTGAACAACAAGATTGATCACCATGATTGCTCCTTTCATGTCATTTCTATTTCTTAAAAAATTTATAGGAAATAATAATGAATTCCAAACACCAATATAGGATACAATAATTTGTTTTAGTGAAAAGAATCAATTAGAATTTTTTTTTATATAAAATTGTGAATGAATCATTTTTCAATTAAAAAAGACAGAAAATATATTATTGGAGGTGAAGGAGAATAAAAAAACAGTGGGCCAAAATGAAACTAAAGTTGGGAGCAACATTTTGATTAGGGTTTTCTCTTTTTGTCATGAGAGAATCAGAGTGCACATATATCCAATAAGTTGACTTTTAACTTAAATTTCAGCCAAACATATTTGTATCCTAAGCCATTTTGTGCTATTTGATTCTTCTCGTGTGCCATATATAGGTATATCTTCAATACTAATTCCAAAAGAGAGAAAGAAAAATGTGGCAAAAGGATTTCATCAATTGCAGAGGGCAGTTCTGCACTAGGCATGAAATATTCCAAGAATTTTATGGGTGCATTTGGGAGCATCTCTACCGTACAAAATACTTAATTATCTTTCATGCACTAACCCCTTACGTTGTTTGGGGTGGGTGTACTTAACCTCTAAACTTGCAAATATGTGAATTTGACTCCTGTGGTTTGAAAATAGGTTAAAATTCCATTTTGGTCCCTATACTCTGAAGAAAAGTCTTGTTTTGGCCATTGCACTTAAAAAACCTCTTTTTGATCTCTAAAATTTATTTTTTTTCTAGCCCCTTTAAGTCCCTCATTTGAATTTTTACCCATGTTGCACATTAAATAACAAAAACTAATTGATTTCTCCTTTATATAAATTATGTGAAAAATCCACATAATCAAAAATGATGACATAAACAAAATTACAAATCCATATCAACATTTCATATAAATACCTTAGGCCCTTGTCATCATCTTCCTCTCTTTCCATGTATTTCACCAATCAAAAATCCATGGAACTACATTGACAACAATGAAAGGAAAAGGTCCATTTTTACAATTGAACAAACCACCATCACTTGCATCTATTTTGCATGAAAAAGTCGGTGAGCCACCCTTAGTTGTTCCTTGACCCTAGCCGTAGGAATTAGCATTGGTTATTGGGCGATCGGCAGTGATTGAAGCCGTGTGGTTCCATGCTCGGTCAAATCCCAAGGGGATCCACTGAGTGCTCACAATTGACAGGGCTTTTTAATCCATTGTATAGAATCCATTAATTAACTAGAGGAAGTGAGAAAATGGGCGCCAACATCCTGATATCAAGTACATGAATTTGGGTGTTGCGATCGACTAATTGATTAAGATCTACTATTTCAAGAACCCATGTCTTGAAGATTAAAATGGAAAAGTGTTCTAGGGTAGTAGGGACTAGAGAAGATGGAGATTGATGGAGTAGGGCATAGAGAAGATGGAGATCTATGGAGAGGGGGGATCAAGGGTTTCAAGGGGTAACAAAGGAAGAAGTAGGAGGAGAGAGGATTGAGTTCAGGGGATAGAGGATTTCGTCTAGGATAGGAGGAGAGAGGATAGGGTTTTGGAGAAGAAGAGTACCTTTTGGTAAATTCATTATAATTATAATTAAATTATTAAAATTAGTTATAATAACAATTGTGCAATTAAACAAGTTTTAAAACTAACATGGACAATAAATTTTGTCCATGTCACTAGTTTTTACACATGGAATTTCCAAATCATTAGTTTAAAGGAAAAAATAGCTTCTATAGTTAACTAACATGCTAGATGGGCAAAAATAAAAAATTTAATGGAGGACTTAAAAAAAGCCAGAAAAATAAATTTTAAGAATTAAAAGAGAATTTTTTTAAAAGTATAGAGATTAAAAAGAACCTTTTTTCAAAGTACAAGAACTAAAATAGGGTTTAAACCAACTTTCAAATCAAAAAACGTGCTAACCTTCTTGTTGTAAAAAAAAATGTGCACTTTAATTTAATTTGACTCTCTAAGTTTATTAATATTGAAGGTAAAATCTCAAAAATATTTGAGGATCAAGTATATATTTTCCAAACCAAATAGGAGTTAAAAGCACATTTTCATGATATGGGAAGTTAAAGTGCATATTTTCAAACCTACAAGAGGTCAAGTGCACATTTTTTGATTTATAGTTAAGTCCTCCCAGTCTACTACAAACTTTAGGAGGAGGGAAAAAGGAGGAACCCAGATTTGAACTAATAAACGTGAGATATCCTTCCATAAGGTAAGTGATTTTGTATCACAAAGCCTTAAAATAATTATACACAATGTTTCCAAAATAATTTAAAAGTGAAGAAATAAATTAACCCTATCCAAGCATAAATTATTGATGATCTACCAATTTAAGTTAGGGTGTGCAAATAAATGCACTTTTTAGCTGTTAAATTATATGAAAATGGTTTTTTAATTTATGTCTTAAGTCTATTTTTTTGTCATAAATTTATATAAAAAAATATAAAAATTGACATTAATTTTGATATTACTGTTATATAAATGAAT